AATTTTCGCGTTTTCGACAGATTTCGTAAAAATTTGAACTATAAACGCTTATAAAAAAAATTGTGACTAACGATTTTTAATTTTTTTTAGCTTCAATAAGAACAACTTATAAAGAACCTTGTATTAAATTTTCAAGTTTTTTTGGGGATCCAAAATTTTTTTACCGATACTTAAAAAAAAATTCGAAAATCAATTTGGACGAAAATTGGTTTTGCGTAAAAATTCCCGTTTTGCTGTCATTTTTTTTTTTGTTTTTCTCGATTTTTTTTTAAAACTGTTGAAAAATGTTTACTTTTGACCTCTATAATGCACCAAGGATATTCACTTTTACATCAGAAACCACCCCCCAAGTTTGAAATTGAAGCATTATTTCGACTAGTTATGCTGTACACAGACACAAAAACAAACACACACATCATTGTAAAATCTATACATTCATCACTTCGTTCAGAATCTAAAAAAATCATATGGCATTAAAAATGCACTTAATKGTTTTATTAACTGAAATCATAAGTTTATCATCCATAACGTACAAAAGTCAAACGTAAATCATTTATATACCTACGTCATTTTTTTAATCTATTGATTTTTTTATAGGTACTAAATTTATGATATCATTGAATGTGATATAGTTAATAACTTCTATAATAATAATAATAATAATAATACTTTTAACAATAAATATGTTTAAGTTATTATTTTCAAAATGATACATAAATAGTACATTCATTATATTAAAAATGTATATTTTTCAGATATATTTTTAATAATGATATAGTATAGTATAATAGATATTATTATTATAGAAGTAGTATAACTAATAACTATTGTGAACCAAAATATTTAAAATTTTTAAATTGTACCTATAATAATCGGGATATTATAAAATAATTATACATTATTGAAATATAATTAGATATTGGTATTGAAAATGTGGGAAATACGTAAATGTCACCGATTTGATATCTATATATTTAATGGAAATATACTCTAAGTTAACAATTATTTTTTATTAACCTACATCTATATAATATACTTAAGAATTTTGGAAGTTATTTTCATTTCAAAGAAGGCCTAAGTATAATATGTCATTGACATTATTTCTTTATAATTCTAAATATAAATTAGAAAATTGAGAAAAATCTTAAGGTCGTAGAGTTATTAATCTAATGCACTTGAATTTCAGAAAACAAATAAACATATAGAGGTAGTTCTACAATGGTGGTGGCAACGGCGACGGCCCACTTCCTCTTGATATGCTAAAAATATATTTTATCTTCACTCAACCCTTTTTTTTATCTTTCTTTTTGGATCATTGCCAATAGGCAATWACAACAACAAATATGCGTGTGCAGTAGAACGGTGTGGCACAATACTGCGTTTTAGAAAAAATACTCATAATGTCACCATTTATATAAGCAGATGCACATACAGGATGATTTTTTGTATGGGGGAACAATCATAGCCGTAGTTAATATTATTATGTTTATGATGAAAAAAAAAACAATTTCATTATAGTTACCTACAAGCACTCTAACACTTAACGTTTATGTAAAAATAATCTGTTATTATTTTTAAACATGGGTACCTTTTTGTTTCTTGGGTTGTATACAGTCATTTAGTTTCTTATATTTGTCATTTCATATTATTCAGAAGCAGAACTTMTTTTTCATAAAAATGCTTACATAAAAAAATGAAAATATTTACCTATAATAATATGTGTTGTAAAAAATATTGATTTTTATTTATGTACAAAAACTATTGAATTAAGTCGAGACCAGATTTTGTCACTAATTATCACTCTAAGCATTCAGAAGTCGACCAGTATAATAATATTATAATATACAAGCTGTGCGTTTAGCTGTCAGAATATCTCTCTGTCGGTATATATACATATGGTAGGTATCTAAGCTTGTGTAAAAAAATTTAATTCCCGTGCGACAGAGTAAATTATCGATAACCATAATGTGATAATGCCTCATGGAAGTGCGTAAAAACTAAGAAGTGACACATATACAAAATAGATATGATTGCCACCGTCACTTCTCGTCCACGGACTTTCTTCTATAATATAATTGCTGAGTAGGTAAGCATGTATCGATTTGACCCGTGAATCGTGATGTGTGCAATCGTGAGTATAGTATAATCTCTGTACACTGTGAATAGGTTTTTGAGTAAAGAGTTAATCGTGTGATGTACCTACATCGGACATCAATGATACGTAGGTATATGATAATAAGGTACGTGAAGTTGGCACTACAAAGTACTCAAMACTTTTCAAAAACATTCCAACAACTCCTACTCGGACTTGTTGGAATGTTTTCGAAAAGTTTTGAGTACTTTGTAGTGTTGGTCATGTACTTGGCACTACAAACTTCAAAGACTCGTAACTTTTCTAAACTTTTCCAACAAATTCCAACAAATGTCCAACAACGTCCAACAAGTCCGAGTAGGAATTGTTGGAATGTTTTTGAAAAGTTTTGAGTACTTTGTAGTGCCACCTTCACGTACCTATGATAATATGCACATGCCAGCTAGGCACAAGTTCTATAGGGGTACATTCGATTCTCTTAGATTTTTTTTACACTCTTTTCTCGAACATTTTTTATTCCAGAATTGATAATAATATTATTTTGCGTATAACGTATAATGCATTTGTACACCCTTCCTCCCATCACCATAAAAAATAAAACCAATAGATAACAATAGATATTGGTCTGAGGGCACCACCACGACCGTATAGAAAAATCTTAGGCACGTCAACAGGTGTGTCTGAAATTCCTAACCTGGTTGAAAAAAAAAGAATTTTTTGAAAACCCTGTCAATGCTTTACTTACGTGTAAGTAAATATATACTTATTTATACATTATACTATTATTTACCTATCCCATCTCTCAGTCGTCGTTTGATTTAGGTAAGCTTAATGTCACCAACTGATAGCACCTGTGTTTATATTATTTAATATTACATAAGAATTATTATACATATTTTAGTGTTATGACTATATTATTATGATCCATAATACTTATCTTAATATTATATTTTAATGTTTATCTGCAGTGCCGTTAATCGGTATTTTTTTTCGGGTAAACAAAAATCCTTGCACTAAACACGATTATAACGACGTAGGACGATTTGGACGAACGAAGATATTAATATGTAAGTAAATAATAAAATACCAAATACGTTACCGCGATGTTGGTATTATACCACGGTGCTCATCTATACCGCACGGGTGTATTACCGCGGTATGAGTGATATATATATACGTGTATAATACCTAGGTATATCGTATTTTAATCGGCCGCGACGCGCGACGTCGTGTGTGTTGGCGCGCTCGTCCGTCCGTCTGTCGGCCGACCATTCAGTTTACATGCGGTTTGACTCGCGCGTTGTGCTGTTTGACGTCGACATTTCGTTTCGTACTCGCGCCACTCATTGTCACAATAATATAAATATTATATCGTTCACGATAATAATACTAAACGTATATAACAATGCGTAATCGTGTATTTCTCTTCAGTACCAGTTTCGTATCGTAAAATATTAAATCGTACACAGTTGCTCGTTCGATTATTGTACACCGCGATTCCGATTCGTTACGTTTATTTTTTATTATTCAATAAGCTGTTGCTATCGTAATTTTTTGACGACGAGCAAGCGCGGCAAACAGTACTTGATACATTTCATCGGACGATATCATCATTACCTGTAACAATATTATTAAATAGCAGCAGCAGACCGGGCCATACGCGTTTATTTCGTGCGTTTAATGTAAACAACATCTGAATAATAGGACGATAAATATTATTATCATAATAAAAAAAATTTTAAAAATGGTAGAATTTTTCGTCCGAACAATGGTTATCTTCATCTTCGAACAAACGACTGAAACAGCGTAAATCCTCGAGCATCGGTCGGCGTCGTTGTGTGATATTCTGTATATTTTGTTCGTCAACGCTACAAGGTACCGTATATTATTATGCCTATGCACATTTTAACAAAATTCTTAATGTTTGTGCTGAACATACGTTTTTCGATAGAGATATTATTAATAATAATAATTTATGATCATGGTTAATTTAATCGGTGGAGGGTTATTTATTTTTGTTTTGTAAATAAATTCCCTAATCGCCATTGCTACAGTAAGCAGTTGCAGTTATAGTCGTTAAATTGATGGATTGGCACACATACACACATACACACATACACACACACACATATATATGCTATATACTTCCAGCTCGAGACGCTGTCCAGACTATAGGACGCTTGTGTTCTAGGTAACCCTCACGGTTATACTTTGATTCTATACAAATAACTAAAGTGCAGACAAAAATAAAATAATGTTTTATATTGTTTTTTTACAATTTCGACCGAAATTGCACAAAGATTTTAGACTGCGCCACATAGTATATTTTTATTTTTCCCGTAGGCAAAATTAAACAACGGGTCTTTGCTGTATGTTATTATTATACTCAATTATTCARTGTAGATATATACACGCATTATTACAGTTTCAAATATTTTATGTTTTAAACATTCGAATTATCTTTAGAATAATAAATTCCTGTTTAGAATGATATTTAAAGAGAAATTCGGTTAGTTTCAAGTACTACATATAACACGCATATGTGATTTTATATAATTATACAATTATTATTTCTTTTACTCGCTTATATTTTATGTAGTATGCGTATAATTGAGCAGATCCAATACTAATTAAAAAAAAAAAAAAATGTTTTACAAGTTGTTTGCCATTTATTAGTTTTAATTAAACCATTGCCACTAGCAGCGTATGACAACGAACCTTCTTGTGCGATTTCAAATATATTACCAGACTAAACACCCGTTGTTTTGACAGTGACACAATTAATAAATTACGTTTCATAACTAGGTTTTTTAGACCGTTACTACTTATACAACTTATAATTATTATCTACTTAATGTTTAGTTTAGAAAACAAAACATAGATGGTGCTTTAACTGCGAAGTAAATTTTTAACTATGACAATGAACATGATTTAAGAGCTTGAGAAAAAAAATGTAATCACAGTATACTAGGAGCCTAAATTTGATTTTTTAAAACATACAATCCATAATTTTTCGAACATCTTGTCAATATATATGTATTGAACTTAAGGAGATACATTCTGATGCCCTGCAGCTTAACTAGATTAAAAACAAAAAAAACTAACCAATAATATTATTTTAAATCAACTTTAAATATAATTGTCCATGTTAGTTTATTGGGATTAAAAATATACATATATTTTACTTTTAAGCATGTTCCTTTTTCATACATTCATAAMAAATTATTGTACCTAATATACTTATTAAAACTTTATTTATTCATATGTAGGTAATATGTTTATAACATAGTTTAATATTTTAACACTTACGTGATAAATAATAATTTAAATTAAGTGTTTATGAATTAATAAGTGATTGTTAACAATTTGCACAAAATACCTACCTATATCGCTTTTTTCATGCATGAAATATATAAATATAAATTAATATACACCAATATTTTACTATATTCTCATACTTTATTAGATTATTATATATTTTTTAATTATTAATTTTACTGTATAAWATATCTAAAGATTTTCAACATTTACTAGTGGTAAAATAGAAATATCCACAGTTTGAATAAATATAAATCGGAATATTGAGTTCAAAAAAAGTAGAAAACTGTATACACGTATAAGATAATATA